CACACCCACACACACCCACACACACCCACACACACCCACACACACCCACACACACCCACACACACCCACACACACCCACACACACCCACACACCCACACACCAACACACCAACACACCAACACAACAACACAACAACACAACAACACAACAACACAACAACACCACAACACACAACACACACACATACACACATACACACATACACACATACACACATACACATACACACATACACACATACACCCATACACCCATACACCCACACACACACCAACACACAACACACACACAACACACACACAACACACACAACACACACACACACCTCCCTCTCCTCACACAGCGCAGCACAGCACAACACAGCACAGCACAGCACAGCACAGTTCAGCACAGCACAGCTCAGCTCAGCGCAGCACAGCTCAGCTCAGCACAGCACAGCACAGCACAGCTCAGCTCGGCACAGCACAGCACAGCACAGCTCAGGTCGCCCAGGGCATGGTAGGAGTGGCACTTTCTCGACACCATCGGAGGTGCGCAGGGGGTGGTCCCTGAGCGCGGCCGCTATCCGAGACGGTCGTCCAGGGCATCGCAGGCGTGGCATTTTCCGACACCGTAGGAGGTGCGCAGGGGGTGGTCCTTGAGCGCGGCCGCTATCCGAGACGGTCGTCCAGGGCATAGCAGGCGCGGCATTTCCCGACACCGTAGGAGGTGCGCAGGGGGTGGTCCTTGAGCGCGGCCGCTATCCGAGACGGTCGTCCCGGGCATATCAGGCGTGGCTTTTTCCGACACCATAGGGGGTGCGCAGGGGGTGGTCTGTGAGCGTGGCCGCTATCCGAGACGGTCGTCCAGGGCATAGCAGGCGTGGCATGTTCCGAAACTATCGGAGGTGCGCAGGGGGTGGTCCCTGAGCGCGGCCGCTATCCGAGACGGTCGTCCAGGGAATAGCAGGCGTGGCATTTTCCGACACCGTAGGAGGTGCGCAGGGGGTGGTCCTTGAGCGCGGCCGCTATCCAGACGGTCGTCCAGGGCATCGCAGGCGGGTATTTTCCGACACCATAGGAGGTGCGCAGGGGGGGTCTGTGGCGCGGCCGGCTATCCGAGAGGTCGTCCAGGGCCATAGCAGGCGTGGCATTTTTCCGACACATATGGTAGGAGGTGCGCAGGGGGTGGTCTCTAAAGCGCCGGCGCTAATCCGAGACGTCGCCAGGGCAATATCAGGCGTGGCATTTTCCCGACACCATAGGAGGTTAGCAGGCGGTGGTCTGAGCGCGGCCGTATCCCGAGACGGTCGTCCCAGGGCATATGCGTGGCTTTTCCGACACCATAGGGGGTGCGCAGGTGGGTGGTCTGTGAGCGTGGCGCGCTATCCGAGCTGTCGTCCAGGGCATAGCTGGCGTGGCACTTCTCGACACCATAAGCGGGTGCGCACGGGGTGGCCCTGAGCGCGGCCGCTATCCGATACGGTTTTCCAGGGCAAGGCAGGCGTGGCACTTGCTCGACACCATAGGGGGTGCGCAGGGGGTGGTCCCTGAGCGCGGCCGCTATCCGAGACGGTCGTCCAGGGCATAGCAGGCGTGGCAATTTTCCGACACCTAGGAGGTGCGCAGGGGGTGGTCCTGAGCGCGGCCGCTACTCGAGAACGGTCGTCCAGGGCATAGCAGGCGTGGCATTTTCCACACCATGGGAGGGTGCGCAGGGGGTGGTCCCTGAGCGCGGCCGCTATCCGAGACGGTCGTCCAGGGCATAGCAGGCGTGGCATTTTCCGACACCATAGGAGGTGCGCAAGGGGGTGGTTTGTGAGCGCGGCCGCTATCCGAGACGGCTGTCCAGGGCATATCAGGCGTGGCTTTTTCCGACACCATAGGGGGTGCGCAGGGGGTGGTTTGTGAGCGTGGCCGCTATCCGAGACGGTGGTCCAGGGCATAGCAGGCGTGGCATGTTCCGAAACTATAGGAGGTGCGCAGGGGGTGGTCCCTGAGCGCGGCCGCTATCCGAGACGGTCGTCCAGGGAATAGCAGGCGTGGCATTTTCCGACACCGTAGGAGGTGCGCAGGGGGTGGTCCTTGAGCGCGGCCGCTATCCGAGACGGTCGTCCAGGGCAAAGCAGGTGTAGCATTTTCCGGCACTATAGGGGGTGCGCAGGCGGTGGTTCCTGAGCGCGGCCGCTATCCGAGACGGTCGTCCAGGGCATAGCAGGCGTGGCATTTTTTCCCACATGCTTAGTGGGGTTCTGGTTTTCTTCCCTGCCTCGTCGCACCCGCGGCCCTCACACACCACCTTCCTCCTCACACCCCACCTTCCTCCTCCCTCCTTCTCCTTCTCACACAGCGCAGCGCAGCACAGCTCAGCACAGCACAGCTTAGCTCAGCACAGCACAGCTCAGCACAGCACTGCACAGCACAGCATAGGACCTCTGCACAGCACAGCATAGTATCTCCCCTCTTGAGTGGCATCACCAACGGTATCGGCGGGGCAACGTCTACCAACATCATTCTCACATGCTTCACTTCAGCTATCACCATTCCAGCCATAATATAAATATGTGGGGTTCCTCGGTAGCGTAATTGCATGTTTTTCGGGTTCCTCCCCAAGACGGCCCAAGAGCGCTCCAAGAGAGCCCAAGACCGCCCAAGACGGCCCAAGAGGCCTCCAAGACGCCCCAAGAGGCGCCCAAGGGGCGTCCCAAGACGGCCCAAGAGGCCACAATCATTGATGTTCCTTAGGAAACCGTGCATATCTAGTATATCTGGCTTTTCGGCTTTCACGGCGTTGACGACGGCCCAAGAGGCCCCCAAGACCGCCCCAAGACGGCCCAAGAGGCTCCCAAGAGGCCCCCAAAACGGCCCAAGAGGGCCCCAAGACGGCCCAAGAGGCGCCCAAGACGGCCCAAGAGGGCCCCAAGATGGCCCCAAGAGGGGGACCACGAACCGAAAAGTCTAGCCTTTCGCCCCAAGAAGCCCCCAGGAGGCCCCAAGAGCCCCCAAACAAGCCCCAAGAGGCCCCCAAGAGGCGTCCCAAGAGGCCAGCAGGAGGCCAAAATCATGGATTTCCAAAGGAAAGAAATGTATTTTTTTAGCATACACGGCTTTTCGGCTTTCACGGCGTTGAAGACGGTCCAAGAGGCCCCCAAGACCGCCCCAAGACGGCCCCAAAAGGTTCCCAAAACGGCCCAAGAGGGCGCCAAGACGGCCCAAGAGGCGCCCAAGACGGCCCAAGAGGACCAAGACGGCCCCAAGAGTGGGACCACGAACCGAAAAGTCGATCCTTTCGCCCCAAGAAGCTCCCAGGAGGCCCCCAGAGCCCCCCAAGAAGCCCCAAGAGGCCCCCAAGAGGGTCCCAAGAGGCCTCCAAAAGGGTTCTAAAAGGGTCCCAATAGGACTCCCAAGAAGGCCCAGAGATGCCAAATAAAGAGCGATCGGTAACGTAAAAAACTCTTCACACTAAGGCTCCCAAGAGCGAACAGTGACGTAAACAAGCTGATAAGACCAAGGCTCCCAGCAGAGAGCGGTGACGTAACAAGTTCCTGACACCAAGGCCCAGCCTAGGCTCAGGAACGGGCGGCAACGCAACAATCTCTGAACACCAAGGCTCCCAAGAGTGAGGGGTGACGTAACAAGCACTCAACGCCAAGGCTCCTAGTACGAACGGTGGTGTGAGTAATTTCGGTTTCTGTTTCTGAAGCGCTCTTTCCGTTTCCGTGCCGGGCCAGGTCCAGTGGCCTTCGGCCCATCCCGCCACCGTGCCTGGGGTGTTGGTTCGAGGCCTTTGGGATGTTCGTTGGGGCACCGTGCGAGGCCTGTCGGGGGCCTCTCGGAGGCACTTTTGAGGCCTCTTGGGGGGCGTTGTGGGGGCCTCTTGGGGCCTCTTTTTGAACCTCTTGGGGGCCTCGTTGGGCCTCCAGGTGGCCTCCTGGGCTCTGATGGGGGGCCTCTTGGGGCCTCCTGGGGGCCTCTTGAGGCGGAAAGCTCGAATTCTCGGTTCGTATTCCCCCTCTTGGGACCCTCTTAAGGCTGTCTTGGGGCTTGAGCGCCTCTTGGGCCGTTTGGGGGCCCTCTTAGACCGTCTGGGGACCTTTTTGGGCGCCTCTTGGGCCGTCTTGAGGCGGTCTGTTGGGCATCGTGGTCCACTTTGGAGCGTCGGAAGCACGAAAGGGCGAGAGCCCCAAACATGGGGAAAACACAATGACAATCAGTGATTTCTGCCTCTTGGGGCCCTCTTGGCCGGCCTCTTGGCGCGCTCTTGGAGGCCTCTGGGGCCGTCTTGGGGCCATCTTGGGCGCCTTGGAGCGCTCTTGGGCCGTCTTGGAGGCCTCTTGGGCCCTCTTGGGCGCTTCTTAGGGCCATCTTGGCTCGTCTTGGGGCCCTGTGGCCTCTGGGAAATCCACGCGACCGAGCCCAAGAGCGCCCAGATGCTCCGATGTGGAGGCAGACTGCGTTTTGTATTGTTTTTTGACGGGGATGGTGGGCGGGGTGCCCTCATGGTTTGCGCATGGTTCCGGGTTGGCTGCCGGCCGGGTGGGGGAGGGGCCCGGTGTTTATTTTATAGGGAACAGTGAGAAACCTTCTCCCGAAGGGGAAGAAGGGGGTTGGAAGAGAAACCGCCTTATATTTGTGTGTGTGTCCCTGGCCCCCTTGAGCTTGTGAGGCCTAGGGATGGTTGTGAGTCAGCTCCTGGATCGACTCGTTCCGGTCTGAGGCCGCCGCGCTAGCAGCATGCTCGACGCTTGTGCGCACGCTCGTGGGTAGATTCGGTGCGCACTTTTGGTCTCGTCGCCGGCTGGTCTTGATAGACTTTGAGCCGTCGTCCAGGTTTTCGACTGCACGTAAAAGTGACCTTTCGCTGGAGTGACCTTTCGGTGCGGGCCCACTGGGCTTCTGGGATCGCCGAATGCGATGCAAT